CATTCACTGCATGATACAAATAGAATTTAAATAGGAGAAACTCTACCTGTGGGGCACTTGCTGACTTTGTAGGATTGTTCTTTTCTTCAACAAATATTTATTTATTGAGTACCTACTATATGTCAGGCACTATTTCAAGACCTGGAGATAAAGCAATGAAAAGAAACATACGGTGTCTGGTGTTGCTTGTACGCTACAGAGGAGACAATAAATAAGCCAAATGTGTAACATGTTAGGTAGTGATAAATGCTAAAAAGAAAAAGTGCGGAATGGATATATGGTCCCTGTCACACTTTCTAATTTTTTGAGGGGAAATCCTGATGATTAGCTGATGATTAGTGATTTCACACTATTTAAATTCAGGGAACATTAGTTTATCCCATATTTTTTAGTTCTATCTTGAAAGTACACTCATTATTCCCTTTAAAAGGGATTGAGAATGTTTTAGTAGGAGTTTTGGTCAAGCGAAAATAAAGTCAGTTCTGTTTCCCCAGTGCTAAGATGTGTTACAAGTGACAATTTTTAAATGGACTCAAATAGCCATTCTACCAGTACAAGAAATATTTTAGGCTGAGCAGTTTAAAAACCCAACTTGATTTGAGCGTCTGCCAAAGTAAATTTTGCATGAATAGATTATTTGCATTTATTTATTTGAAGGTTTGGTTTAAAAAAATAAACGGGAATGTTTGAGAAAGTGTAGTGCTGTTCTTTAGAGTTCTAATGGTGATGAAGATGGCAAGGCAGGGCTGATTATTCATAAGACATTGTTTGCTCCAGAATATGTGTGAAGCCTTGAAATTAGGCATTCTTACGAACCCTACAGAGCCAAGGCTTTTAAGCTAAGCATTTAATATGCTTTGAAAAGTTTGACAATGAGAAATCCCACTTAAATTGATGTAGCAAAAAATCTGAACCCCTGCTTCCTTAGTTTCCCATGAGATTGACCTGGTAGGTAGTGACCTTTGTTTGCTTATTAAGCTTTTGTTTTTCCAATACAGATAACAATGAAGATGGTTCCAAAAATGCTTTTTCCTTTGGTTAAAGACTGGGCTCCCAAAGCATTTGTAATTTCCTTTAAGCTGGAGACTGACCCCTCCATCGTAATTGATCGTGCACGGAATGCTTTGGAAGTTTATCGACATCAAGTGGTGGTGGCTAATATCCTTGAGTCACGAAGATCCTTTGTGGTTATTGTAACTAAAGACTCAGAAACTAAGTTATCGCTATCAGAGGAAGAAGTAGAAAAAGGTACAGAGATAGAAGAGAAGATAGTAGTTGATCTTCAGTCTCGGCACACAGCTTTTATAGAGGACAAAAACTGAAAGATCAAAAGTTACAGGATCAAAAATTGTTCAGTGGACCAGGCCTGTTATAGATGGCGAGAACTAGAATAAATCCTTTGCTTTCATAAAGACATAAAATGAAGGAAAAATCATTGAGTGGTGAGCAGGCGAACACGGTTTGGTATTTATCTTTTAAAGGTCATTTCATACTCATTAAAAATGAAAAAAGCAAAGCAGTTATGATCGAACCACATGACACACTCTCCTGAATGTCATCTTGATTTTTAAAATGAACACGAGCTGTTACTCACCTTTAAAAAAAGAGCTCATTGGGAATTATATTCCTCAAGATATATATGTGGGGCCTGAATATCACCCTTCTTCATACTATTAAATGGATTATGGATGTGTGAATGGACATGCTTTGAAGATCAGATATTTGCTGATGCCTATTATGTAGTACGCCCTGATGATTATGAAGATTAAAAAGATGGATAAACATGTCTACTTTGGGAAATGGATATATAAAGTGCAATAAAGTGTGTACCCAAAAGCCAACACAGTGGAAAGGATGTTGTTTTTTGTGAATTTATCAAGATGGGAATAGGAGAGAAGGACACCTCCCTGAAGGTAGATTGCCTATCGAATGATGAGCTTCCCACTACGTTTACTTTTTTCTTTCTTGTCCTAGATTCACTCCAAGTTTGAGTTAACAGTTTACCTTTCAAATATTTTAGGACTTCTCTTCAGGGAAACTTAACCCCATCTTCTACCAGGGGCCAGACAGGCGCCAATTGATGATCTCTACCCTGAAAGGAAGCATTACAGTGTGGTCAAGAGTGTGGACTTTGGAGTCACCTTAGCCAGGTTTGACCTCTCCAGCTGTACCAACTAGGAGCTCTGTAGGCTTACACACCTGACTTAATTTCAGTTTCCTCATCTATAAAACGGGGATAATAAATCTCTGCAAAATAATGACATTGTTTTGTGAGGATTAAATAAAACAGGGAAGATAAAGCTTTAGTCTGGTGCCTAGCACATAATTCATAATAAATGGTTGCTGTTATTTTCCTCACTTAGCAAGGCATTGTTATTATGCTAGTGCCCTGCTCAATCCCTGAATTCTTGAAAAATCTTCAAAGCTCTTTGTCCTGAGGGGATTTGGGGTTGGGAGTGCACAGAAAATGTGGTCCAGAAAAATCCCTTAAATAATCCATAGTATGGTCCAGAGCACAATTTGAAAAACTGGCATTGAAACTAGGTAGTAGCAGATACTGTGCTTCACTAAATATTTGATTTAAAATGCAATTTGTGATGTTGCATGGAGAGTTCGGAAGGGTAGCCCAATGTGTCTGATAATAGAGGTACAATAAATTTTAGTTGAAAAGATTTGAACAGAAGTTCCAAGATGCACTGAAATCATTAAATCAGGAAGGTGACCTTGTGCAGAGGACAAATAACTATAGTAATCAGGACTGTTCTGGAAGCAGCAGTCCCATTAGACAAAATTTTTAAGTTGAGGTCCATTTGGCAAAACCTCAAAAGCAACAGGCTCTGTCAGCAGTGGCTGCAGGATTAAAGGGATGGGAAGTAAAGATTGATTTTCTTCCCTACATCATCTATAGCTTTATGTGGAGGATGAGTGTCATCATCTTTGAATGTATAATGAGGATAAATAGAGTTAACACTAGAAGTGTTCTTAATATTTGTTTTTACCATAATTATTTCCCTTGGGAACCGTTTCCTATTTTGTTATGCTTAAAACAACCACCACTTCCCTACATGGAATTATTTAAAGTGTTTTGCAATTCTGTTTTGTTTCCATTCTGAGCACTTAAACAGTATTCACACATGCTAAAATTCCAAGATTTTTTGTTGTTGTTTAACAGCAAATGGAAGTGTACAAAGAAAAATAATGAAAAGGAACACAAGTCAATGAGCAAATGAGAAGGAAATTGATCTAGATTGGAGAACCAAGGAATGTTTCACTTGAGAAAATGACCCTTGAACTGATAAGTAGGAGTTAAGTAGGTTTGAGGTGATGGTACTGAGTATTTTAGATCAGAGAAAAAAACACTTGCAAGCGCTCTTATGCCAGAGGGAGAGGTTGAAGAACTTCTAGAAAGTAAGATCCATTCAGGTAATGCATGTAGAACTGGCAGAGCTTTCAAAACGATCTTATGAGGAACTAGAATAAGACAAGAAATTCAAGTACGTGTTTGGGTTACCAGAAAAGGAAGGGCCCCTAAACATGAGTAAAGTTGGGCTTTGCTGAACTAACTAGAACCTTGCAGTAAGAGCATTTAAATGGAGATGGTATTAACTTGAGCCTATGTTAAATTTTGTGTCATTTAGAAAATTTTATTTTGCATTATATAGGTGGAGGAACGAGTCACCTGAAACCAACTTTCGGTGCTTTGGACTCTGAAGGATTTCAGCCTTAGGGATAATTCTAGGCAAGTCTGGTTCCTTCATTTTTACAATCCAAAAATGTGATTTGTCCTAGGTGTCCCAGGTAGTTAAAGGTCTAGGCCGAAAATTCATGACTCCTGACCTAGCATCCTCTCCCTTTTAAGAATGAAGTTACTTCTAGAAAAATAAACCCAAGGTTATGCCGAGTCTCTAGATAACGTCTGGCGGGAAGCTATTTGAGAACTCTAAAATGCCTGGTGACAAATAGTATCCTTTGAGTTGCAAATACGCGCCGTGACGTTACCATGGTTACTACAAAGCGAATGGAAAGAGTCGTGCCTTCTTTCCTGCCCGAAGTGCCCCGCCCCCAAAGACCAATGGTGTGCACCATAACAATGGTCTTCACAGGAAGAACAGTACCTAAACCAATGGGGCGCGTCGTTTCTATGGTTCCTGCCGGAAGGACGCCTTAGCGTCTCTGCAGCCAGCGCGGTTGCTATGACGCCCTACGCTCACTTGGCACCTGCCCCTCGCAGCGGAGCAGCGTGGAGGGGAGCGACCCCGGACCGCACTGCACTCTTCAAAAGACGATTTCCTGCCTACTTCCTGAGGTTCCCGCCTCAGCCCCGAGAAGGAAAGCACCTATTCTCCGCTCTTTTTCAGCATTCCAGGTCTTGCCCGCTTCTCTCCCTGCTATGGCCGGAAAATACAGGAGGAAAGCTCCCTTGGCTCAGACTTTCTAGCCGCGCGGGCTGGAGTGATTCTACCTGAAAAGGGATCCGCTAGTTCTGGGACCCAAAAGCCACAGGCGTTGAGAATTAGGTTGCCGCTCTTATTTAGAGAACACCCAATCAGATAGATAGGTGTTCTTTTCGTCACTCTCCTGGCGAAGACCCACCCCTGCACTGACGACTGACTGAGTCTGAAGCTCCAGGCCATTACAAAGTCCACGAAGCCACTGCTTCCTGGTTGTGGGCCTGTGAACAAAGAACTGCCGTTTTCTGCTGTGTTGCCCTATGTTCGTCATGGGGAACCTTAATTCCGGATGAAGCTCTGGAGGCCTTTTGTATCCTCAGCATAAGACGTGATCAAGTCAGTTACCTTCTGCCTTTCAAGCTACACCCTCATCCACTTCTCTCATCACTCTCATCACTGAGTGCCAGTTTTCCCATCCTGCTCATTCCACAGCCATTTTCACCCTTTCTTTACCATGCAGCCCATTACTGAATGTCCATTCGTCTCCACCACCTGTCATCTACGGACTACCCCCTTCTGCTTTCCTGCTACAAAGCTTTGGGTAGCTAAGTGTTTCGCATTCTTCGGGCCTGGAACCATTTGGAAGATTTTCTCTGTTTCTCCGCAGTATGGCAAGCTTTCTGTCTTGGGTAAACTAGAGGCTAGAATGGAGAAGTGCACATTGGAGAATGCAAGCAGTAAATGATTACAAGCCTAGTGAGTTTTGAAAATGGAGGGGGAAAATCAAAATGCATTTTGGGGCTCATCTCAGGCTTATATAAAGAAAGTTTGTCCCTTGCTTACGTGAATGCTTTGTTAGGCATACATTTTAGTGATGTATTCATGCATGTGCATAGATCATTCAGAATGATCATATATGTAACAGGATTTCAACTTTCAGCCCATATGAACCCAACACCTTGATAAGATAGAATTTTTGTAAAGGAGACGCTTGAAACAGTTCTTGTGCCTCCTCTTCACGTC